AAGTGTTAAGAGAGTCATACCAGATATGAGTTGGAAGTGTTTAGGGGGTCCTGAAGGAAGAAGGGCCGAAAATGTAATACTTAATAGGGATTTTATTTCTTAGTGGGAAAGGAGCAGCAAAATTTCCTGCTATCACTGTTTTTTTGCTGCCTCTTAATTAATGTTAAAAGTTCTGTCTTAGCTCTGGGTAGATTTTGGAATATAAATCAGGAGACCTAAGCCACAGATTAATATGTGCTACATTTCTTTTCAGAAAGTGACTACATTTTAAAAAAATATGTAGTAGCATTGTATTAGAATGTTTGTTCCTTCTGTAGTGTTAATTGAGGGCGAGTGGCTCTTTCTTCCAACTCCTTGACTGTTGCCATGTTCCCGACAGTGCCATACAAGTTTATCTTCTTGCAGGTGAGGATGACAAACTGATCTTGTGTGATGAGTGTAATAAAGCCTTCCACCTGTTTTGTCTGAGGCCGGCCCTCTATGAAGTACCAGATGGTGAGTGGCAATGCCCAGCTTGCCAGCCTGCTACTGCCAGGCGCAACTCCCGTGGCAGGTGAGAATTCTTTTCCCCAAAACAAATGAATAAATAGCTGTTATAATTAGGCTTCAGTTATTCAAACTGAATGACATTAAGGAGCTTTAATTTAAGTCCATCTATTGGGTATGGAGCCTGATCATTTAAGGTATAATAGGAACTCAAGGGGCTCTCATTTAATTTTAGCTGAATGTTGACATTTCTAGTTTCATTACCAGTTATGCTCTCTTCTTGACCATACCTTCTAAAATGACAATATATATCCTTCTGCCCCATGCCCATTTCTTAATTGGTGATTATGTCTGCAACCACCAAATCCTGAAACTCATTTCTTTCCCTAAAAAAAAAACCTTCCTTAACATGATTAGAATTTGGTTGTCAACTTGGACATCTTCCTCTCCTTTGTCTTCCATAGTCATTCATTTGCCAGATGTTATCAAGTCAGTGTCCAGATGTCTTATGAATCAATCTGCTGTCCATTCTCCAAGGTCCCTGTTGTCACTGGCCTTCCTACATCTCTCACCTGGGCTCCTCTGGTTTCTCAGCTCCTTACCTCATATCTTTCACCCTCTTATTCTTCCAGCTTTAGTGATGAGACCCGAATAAGTTATAAAAGGCAAAGACCTGCTTATGTCACTTTACTATTCAAAAACATCAATCTTTACATCTCCTCTTTAATAAAGTCCAAACTCCCTAGCCTAACTTTTGAGACTCTTATTGTACAATACTGGCATATGTTATTATGAGCCCTCCTTCCCGTATTTGTGCGCTTGTTCATTGTGCATCCTTGCTTCTTGTGCTTTCCTCCCAAGTGGGAATATTCTCTCTTCCAAGCACTCCCTCATTTTACTGGGTGTAAACTACCGAAAATTTTGTGTTCTCTTGAAGTGTCCTTACATCCTTAGAATTAATTGTTCCTCTTTGTGTTTCAACTGGGTGTTCAATATCTAAGACAGCATTTTGGTGCATTTGATTGTCTTCCCATGAGATTGTGAATACCCTGAGAGTAGAGGTGGTGCTTTGTTCTTTACCCTAATTTCAATAAGGCCAAACACAGGGCTTTGTAAAAAGGAGGCACCTAATATTTGCCAAGTTAATACAATTGTTTTCCACATTGAAATTTGAGGTTGTAAAAGGGCAGCTTATAGGCACTTTGGCTTGGTCTCTCTTTGAAAGGGCAGAGCTGTTTGATCCTGACCTCACCTAACAGTATTACTCAGTTATTTCTCACTCCATTCCAGCTATACTTAAGAGAGATGAGGCATGCTGTTCTGAAATGGTGGGGCTTTGGACCAGCTGTTCTGAGCTGGGATTACCATTGCTTTGATGTTATGGTCATCTGCAAGCTGTTTCAGCTCCTGGAAGGGGGCCATCAAGGTGGAGTAACACCTGTCTGGGCTTTTATTCTTTCAGTCCACCCCAGAGTTGGGGACACATTTTAATACCTTAAATGTTACATTATCTGGCTGTTTTTGTGAGATAAAAGGAATAAAATTTTGAATTGTTTTGAGGGGGGAGGGGTACATTTTGGTCTTGATTTCTGTTGCCATTGGTGTCTTATCCAAAGCATTTGGGGCCTGGTTGGGGAGGTATGCTGTTGAAGGTTACGTTTTCATTGTACTTCCTGTGTCCTGGCCTGGATTCAGTTTACCTTCCTCATCATCAAATCTGTCCAGTGTGTGAAGAGGGAAAAGTTGCTGGGATCCGTATGGGACTTGATCCCCCTAGGAACACTTTGGCTGAGAACCAGGTTCCCTGTATGCTTTTTCACCTCCCAGGAATTACACAGAGGAGTCTGCCTCTGAGAACAGCCAAGATGATGAGAGCAGTGAAGAGGAGGAAGAGGAGGAAGAGGAAGAAGAAGATTATGAGGTGGCTGGTTTGCGATGTAAGTATTCAGTTTGCCTCCATAGTTAATCTCATAGTCTTTTAAGCTGACATGGAAAGATTGGGTGGGCAGGCAATAGATAGTCAGTGTTGCCATCATGCCATCTTCCTTTTCTCACATATTGTGGCTGTTGGGGTGACTTCATTGCCATGGTTTTAAATGGGTTTTCAAGGTGCCATTTAACCACCTTCCTATTAGGAGGTTGGGTAGCTTCGTCTCAAGAACATTAATTTATGGTAGATGCACTTGATCCACGATTTAGTAGAATTCAAGGTACCAAGTATGTTAATGACAAGCCTCTAGTTCTGAACCCCTCATTGCCTGGGGACAATGAATAAAGAAGGTCTAGTTCCATTGCCCTCTCATAACAGTTCTTTTGCCTCTCTTTTCAGAGAAGTAATTTTTCCTTTGTTTTTCACTCCCCTATAGAGTTCAGGGCATAGCTTTGCTAGTTTGAAAAAGAATGCCGGTTTTTCATAGCTTAGGCATAAAGTTGTTAGGAAGGTTCATATATGTTTCACATTAGATGCCAGTAGGGGGAGAAAAAGACCTCATCATTTACCCTTACCTCACTGACTATTTTTTGTGACTATTTGAGAGTTTTGTTGTTTTCATGGTTAAACTTGAAGTTCTGTAATTTACCCTTAGCCTCCCTCTTTTCAAAACATATCCTTCTTTGTAGGTTAGTAGAAAAGAGACACAGATCAAGATTTTGATGAGCTCTTGAAGAGATGATACAATTCCCAAGATCATAGCACTCTGAATGATCAGAGTTAGTATAAGGAGAGAGACGATGCTTGGCATGATCAATCTCTTACTTCAGTAATGCCGCCAAACCTGAGGGCTTGGGCTTACACACCTGCTCCCATCTCTCTAGTCCTGAAGGCTTTTAATTTGGGACACCTCAATTTCACTCATTCCTATTGGCATGATTTTCCAGGTATCCAGGGTGAGGAGACAAGCAGTCCATTAACCTTGCATCACACAGAGACCAGCATCTACTGGCTGAGAGTTGTGATTCAGATGCGTGTTTGTCTGGGAGCAGATTCTGAATATAGCAGTGTACTGATTGTTTATTTTCAAACTAGTGATTGCTTTCTACTTCTGAGGTGTTGCTCTCCTTCCAAGGAATTGTTTCCTTTCCAGGTTTCAAGGGCTGTTTCTATCAAAAGGATGTAGGAAGTATTTAGAGCATTTTGTCTACTCTGCCTTTTAGACCACCAGAGATGTGGCTCTCTAGTTCAGCTCAAGTCTGGGGTTGGTGTCTGTTCCTAACATCCCAAAGTTTTATCCTTGGCATCAGCTGCTTACTCTCTGTTCCTAGCCAGGTCTTGGGCTTGAGACCCTGGAATAGCCACTGAAGGGTTAACATTATTTATTACTGTATCACTGCCTCTGTATGCCCCTATTTCTGTCCAAATGTCACCTTCCCACTTCCCAGGGAAAATTTGTTTAGTAGAGAAACCTTGAGCTAATCCTTCTGGAGCATGAGATATTGAGGCATGTTGGTTTGTGTGACACTAAGCACCTGATGTAAACCTGAGACACAAGTGGTCTTGGGTGCCTTTGTATTCTTTCTTCTCTCTTTGGGGATCCTAGGCAGCTTTTTATGGGAGTGACCTAGATGACTGTCTATGGTTTTCAGAAATGCAAGAGAGCAGGACTGATGCTACCCCTAAATTGTATTCAATGAGGAAGACTTTACATAAATACTTCACATAAGTATCAGCTTTTCTCTAAGAAAAGATAACTCTGGGAATTATAAAATAGGATCTCTCCTATAGTCAAGTTTCATCTCACATGTAAATGCGTTAACAGGCAGACCTGTAGCAAATGGCCTCTCCTTTGAGTGAGTCACTTACAATTGACTCCTTCAAGAGCCTCATTCCCAGGAGTAACTGAACAGGGTGGGGCCAGAGGATAGAAGCACTGAAGGAACTGACCTGAGGAGGCTCTTAAAAGGTCTTTGGCAGTTCATGAAAGGTATTCATTTCTCATCTACAGCTCCCTTCACGATGTCCTGTTAGATAGGACAGGAGATAGCAAAGAGCACTCTGTAACCCAAGGAAGCCATTGCTTTGCTTGTCCGATTATCTCCTCATTCCATAACATGCTTCCTTCATCCTCAGTTGTTCTCCTCTCAGTCTGTATTTTTTATTTCAGTGAGACCTCGAAAGACTGTCCGGGGCAAGCAGGGTGTCATCCCCCCTGTGGCAAGGCCAGGCCGACGACCAGCTAAGAAGCCACATCCTATCGCCAGGAGGTCTCAGCCAAAGGCACCACCTGTAGATGACACTGAGGTTGATGAGCTGGTAAGAATTATTTATCATTCTGCCTCTAATGTTTCTGCTTCTTATCCCCCACTCCAGTATTAGGAATTCATCAGGCAACAGGTGGGAGCCTCCCCCTCTCCTCCCCTCCTCCCTCCCTAAATTTGGAGGCTGATGGGAGGGCCTATAGGCAGACAAGGCAGCAGGCCCTCCAGGAACAGCTATGTCCGGCATTCTCCTGCTGTAGCCTGCAAACATTGTCTCCTTTAGTTAACAGGCAGCCTGCGACTTGTTAAGGATTTTAAAATAGTATCCATGTGTCTCCAGTGGCTCAGAGGGGCTGGGTCTCCATTGTGGGAATGTCAGCAATGTCGGAGCCTCATTTACTCTCTGGTCTTTTGCTGACAGTTGTTATGGGAGGGACATTACCCTCCCCTCTGCTCCTCCACACTTCACTTGAGCTTTAAAGAACAAAAAGAGGCCCTTGAAAACTTGGTTGTTTTGACAGATCAAATTGGGGTTGGGATGGGCTGGGGGCATAAAGCAAGCCATTAGGGAGCTCAGAGAGCAATGAGAGATCATCCTACTTGCCCAGCCCTAACCTCTTCAACTCTGTGGCTCCTCCTTCTTCAAGTCACAGCCTGTTAATGGCTACCTGGAAAGGAGGCCCCACTTTTTCTCTCCTTAGTCACTTGGCGCTCACATGCCTGCAGCGGGAGAGCACAGGAAAGGAATTGCACCTCTTGCCTTTCTTCCCTGAGACTCCCTACTCACACAGAATTGTCTGCCAGTGGCACCCATAGCTGGTCTGGTTTTCTGCAATTGCTTCCTTATATACAACAGCGTCATCCTAATCCCAGGTCCATCTGCTCTTAAGAAAGTGGTTGAGCTCTTTCTTTCTCTCTTTTTTAAAGCAGATGTATACATTTTCTGTTTTGTCCACTTTTCTTCTCTTGGATCTGTAATGATATCGTCTTCCATTGGCACCAGGTGCTTCAGACCAAACGGAGCTCCCGGAGGCAAAGCCTGGAATTGCAGAAGTGTGAAGAGATCCTCAGCAAGATTGTGAAGTACCGTTCCAGCTGGCCCTTCAGGTAACAGCTTGTGTTCTCAAGCACAGAGGGTCGGACCAACCGGGCAGCTGGCTGAGGCAGTGCTCATTTGAACCCCTAGGAACGAATCTGATCCCTTCCTTTCAAGACATGTCTCAGTGGCAGGGGATTGGTGTTCCAAACGGGTAGAGACAGCTCTTAGTGCCAGGTGAACACACCTTCTCCGTGCCTACCAGGAGGCTGATCTCAGCGGGGTGGGCCTTCTGTGGCTAATGGTTTAACAGCAAAGTTTCTGTCCATGTGTCAAGGCTGTGCTGATATCTCCGTTTGGGTTTCTCCACAGGGAGCCGGTGACCAGAGAGGAGGCCGAGGACTACTATGATGTGATCGCCCACCCCATGGATTTCCAGACAATGCAGAACAAGTGTTCCTGTGGGAGCTACCGCTCTGTGCAAGAGTTTCTCACTGACATGAAGCAGGTGTTTACCAACGCTGAGCTTTACAACTGCCGAGGCAGCCATGTGCTGAACTGCATGGTGAAGACAGAACAGTGTCTGGTGGCTTTGTTGCATAAACACCTTCCTGGCCACCCATACGTCCGTAGGAAACGCAAGAAGTTTCCTGACCAGTTTACTGAAGATGAAGGGGACAGTGAGCCAGAGACCATTGGACAGTCTAGGGGACGAAGACAGAAGAAATAGAGAGGTGGGGCCCTGGTAAGGGAGAGGGAGCTGAGGTTTGGGAAATGGAGGTGAGAGCAAGGGAAGGAGGAGTGGGATGGAGAAGAACATGGAAGGGAGGACCTCACAGGGAGTCCTGAAATGCCTGTTGTCCCAAGCTTGTGCTATTTTTCTAAAACTCTCCATAGAGCCTTAATCAAGCAGAGCTATTTGGAGAGCATAATATTGGGTTGGTCTCTGCCTAGAAATATGTGGTAGACCTTAACCTACCCTTTCGAGAATTTCCATGAAGAGCCCAAGGGTATGAACCCACTTCCTTTTCCTTCCTATCCAAGATCCCTTCCACTTCGGCCACCACAATAGTGCCAAGCCCTTTGGTCTCCAGGGGCGGGATTACTGTATTACACAGAAGGATCAAGTATAACCAGGCCAGTTAGGTGGTGTTGCTTTTTAAAAGTCTATATTTATATACAGCCTTGTTTCTTTAAGCCCATACTCTGTCTCTCCCCCCACTCCCTCTCAGGTGACGGTATTAGTGAGTGCCATACAGAATTCTGTATTCACCAGCATCATGAAACAGTTATGCTCTTTTCAGTTGATCTTGGCAGAGTAAAGGGACATGTCGTAGAGCCATTCCTGAATACCCTTCCCCTTCTTTGTGACAGTTCTCTCCCCACTTCCACCCCACCACACCCTCCAGAAAACAAACAAACTAAGGCACTTCACGTAGAGACTGGAGTCCTGCTTATAATCATGCATATAATCTTTAGTTTGATGGATCTGGCCAGAGGGGTGTTGGAGCCCAGCCCACCCAAATACCAGACAAACTCTTAGGGGAGCAGAAGAAACGCAGGAAGGATTGAAATGTTTAATTTTTTTAAATTGACTTTTCTAGTTATTAAAAATTGCTTGTTTTAGCAGTGATATTGTATAAAAACATCTTGTAAAATATTTCTGTCATCTTGCTTTGGCACATGTACAGTACAATTTATATGATAATGTGTTTGCTTTCCTTTGCCCCATCTCCTCCCTCAGCCCATCCTCTCTCCTTCAGAGAAGTGGGTTGGAGGCTTATCACAGCAATCAGTGTGACCTGGGGGGAGAGGGCACCCCCCCCCCCCCCCCCCCCATTCTTGACAGAGTATTCCAAACCATTCCCATGTTCACCCCCCTCCTCCCATGCCTGTACTCCCTGAGAACCTGAATCTGTCAGTGGTCAGTGTCGGTGGGAGTAGAGATGGGAGGAGAAGCTAGGCAGCCCCTTCCCACAATGACTCTAGCACTAGTGGTTATATTTAGGCAAAAGTTTGTAGTCTTCTTTCCCTTTTATGGAAGATTTTGATAAAAAATGCAAAACAGGGTTTAATTTTTTTTTTTCTATCAGCTTTGAATTGGAAATTTGGATCACCTAGGTTCTCCTGTATCTATTTAAATGAAGGGAAAAGAATTCCACCAAGGGGGTTGCAACTTAGAGAATTTGGGAATAAAGCCTCTTAGTATTAAACTTCAAGGTGTGGTCCCTGCCTCTCCTCTGTCCTCTTCATTCAAGGACTTTGGGGATTTGCTCCGGTGGCTGGTGGATAGGTTTACTGTCCTCTTTCCACAGGCTTGGAGTTAGCACTGACATTACAATTTCATAATCCCAGCCACCAACACCTCCTGCCTCTTACCCTAGAGCCAGTCTGTTCTTGTTAACAGTAAGAATCCTGTGTTCCCACTTCAGTGATACCTGAATTTGTTGTTTTTTAATTGTCTTTAAGGAGGAAGGGCCCCATTGAGGGGTAAACTTGTAATAAATTGGAATTTCAAATAAACATTATGTACTTGTGTTTATAAAGAAAAAACAACACTGGTGACTCTTTCTTTGTGCTCCGTGGGGGTGCCAGTGGATAGTATATAGTCTGAGTCCTCAGTTTTCCTACTGAGTCTTGGAACCAGTTATTCCTCAGCATTGAGAGGACCTTTGACTTAGTCTTTTTTTTTTTTTTAATGTTTTTATTTATTTGGGAGAGGGAGAGAGGAATGGAAACATCAATGATGAGAGAATCATTGATCGGCTGCCTCCTGCATGCCCCCTACTGGGGATCGAGCCTGCAACCCTGGGCATGTGCCCTGACCGGGAATCATCTCCTGGTAAATGGGTCGACCCTCAACCACTGAGCCACACCGGCCGGGCTGACTTAGCCTTTTTAACCACAGGTTAGAGCCAGCTTCTCATTTCCTTGCTTCCAGGAGACATTTCAGATGCCCCGGGTACAAAGTAAGACCTTCATTTTCCCTGGCCTTATCTCTGTCCGAAACCCCCCAACATTTTATTTGAAATTTCTAAGAATTAGAGGAAATTATTTTTTTAAGTCTTCACTATAGAAATTTATGTAGATTTTTTAGTTAATTTTGGGGAAACTCCTGACATTTTAAAAACTTTCTGGGAGTCCTGGTCAGTGTGCTAAATGGTTAGAGCATCAGCCTGTGCACGGAAGGGTCTTGGGTTTGATTCCTGGTCAAGGGCAGGTACTTGGGTTGTGGGCTCACTCCCCACCCTCAGTGGGGGCATGTGTAGGAGGCAACCAGTTGATGTGTCTCTTTCACATTGATGTTCCTCCCTCCCACTCTGGAAAACAATGGAAAAAATATCCTTGGATGAGGATTAAGAAAAAAAAAACTTCCAAGAAAAATTTCAAACACAAAAAGAGTAAATATATAATGGATTCTCATGTACTCAGCTTCAACAATTGTACCATGTAGCCAATCTTGTTTTCTCTGTACTTTTTTTTATGCTGGAAGTTTTATAAAGTCCAAGTGGTTGATTCAGGTAGTCACCACTGGGTGGCAGCTTACCTATGACTTCAACGGTTTTGTAGAGCCACTGCATGCTCCCATTTATTGAGAAAAGAAACGACCAATTCCTGACCACCTGAACCCCAAGCCCTGGGTGTGGGTTCTGCCATTGACTCATTGTGTGGCCTTGCTGAATGCGGGCTTTGAGCCAGGCCTGCACTGAGCACTTGGGGATTTTCCGTCCTGCAGGGGAGGAAGCAGTTTGCCCCAAGGTCAGAGTGGTTTGATTAGCCCTCAGGCCCTGGAGAAGGAGGCTGTGTTACCTGTGAGCATTTTCTACACACGGAATCCCACCTCGTGTGGATGCAGTTCTGTCCCTCAGGTAGGTTCCGTAGGCCACACTAGGATAGTGCTGTTGGGACGGTGGGTCTGTATCCTGGGTGCTTACTCTTGAGAAGCACCCTTTCTCCCTACTTCTTCCCCAGGGGTGAGACCTTGGGGGAGCCACCTAATTTTGGTTGAGTATTATAAATGGGGACAAAAACTTACCCTTTGTTGTTAATTCTCACATGATATTTTCCCATTGCTTTTCAGAGAGTGGAAGGGTGGGGAAAGAGAGAGAAGCATCAATGTGAGAGACACATTACTGGTTGCTTCCTGCATGTGCTCTGCCCCAGGTCAGGGAGGGAACCGGAATCCAAGTACATGCTCTTGACCCAGAATTAAATCCTGGGCCCTTCGGTGCACCAGCCAAAGCTCCAACACTGAGCCATACCAGCCAGGGCGAGAACTTCTATTCTTGAAGATGGGCATGAATCATTACTTCGAGAACCAACTAAGGCCTCTCCCTCATCCTGACTTCTTTTTCCTCAAACCTGTCTCTGGGGAGGAGGTACAGCCAGGGTTAGCAGTGAGGTGGGGTCTGGATTCCAAAGCCACCATTGGGCAGGGAGCCAGGGTCTCCTTGGCGGGTGAGAAAACTCAGGGGAGGTAGAAAGAGGTTTGTCCTCCTGTTAACAGCTTCCATTCTTTTCCAGGGCCTTGAGGCCTTTTTTACACCCAGAACTGCTCTGGAATGCTGGGACTTTCCCTTTCAGGGTAGAACTGATAGCAGCTACTGACCACCGAGGCAGGTCAATCTGACCTCCTTGCTGACTCCTGTGAACTGACCTAAGAAGTTCCCTTAACTCAGGCTCTCCTAGCCACAAGTTCAGACGGACGTGCTGTGGTGCTCTGAAGACCCACCTGCTGGGCCACCAGGGCCACTGCGGGGAGGGGCTGGAGGCACACAATGAACAGTCTAGCAGGTGTTGATTTCTGAGGCATTTGGGGGGCTCTGGAATTACTTGTCTTGGGGTGTGGAGAGACCTTTGGGAGGGGCTTCTCTGGACAAAACAACCCCAGGTTACAACATCTGCTGTTCCCCTGGGACGTGGTGGTGGTGGTGGTGGTGGTGGTGGAGGAAGTCACAAAAGTTCTGGAAGCTGCAGACCACCTACCTGGCTGTGTGAGGAGCCAGCCAAGTCCTCCACTTTCCCCTATCTGTAAAGTGGGGAAAGGGGGACCAAATTGAGGACTTCTGTAAGAGGCCTTTAATAACTGTTTCCTCCTTCTCCTCTAGGGTCTGGGACATTTCTACAGTGTCTCCCAGTGCTGAGAAGCCTTGGCTGGCAAGGTCCCTTCTCCCTCCCGCCCAAGTACTGGCCCATGTGAACCATCTCAGGCTCAAAGCCGACAGAGCCCCCTTGGGCTGGTCCTGACCACACCTCCCCCTCAGTCCCCACCGCCTCCTAGTTGTTCTGGAAGCCAGTCTGGTTTCTGCGGAGTGAAACATAGCCAAGGACCCCCCTCCCTTGTCCAATGACTGGCAAGGAATAGGGTGAACTGGTGCCATTTTAATGCTAATCCTTCCCTCCACCCTTCACATTTGCCTTTTTCTTACCATCTCCGGAATCCTTTTGCTCCAGCTGCCCGTCCAGTGCAGGCCCTTTAGCAGCTTCAGCTGCACCCGCTCCCTGCAGACCTGGCCCATAAGCCCAGCTTGGTGCAGCCACTGCCCCTCCCGCTCTGAACCTGGGCCCCTGTCACTTTCAATAAGCTCATCCTGTCTCACTCAAGGACCCGCACAGGGAGAGTTACAAGGTGTTACAGTCATTCGGCTTCACTGATCAGAGCAGGCACAGGGACCTACTGTGTGCTCTGTGAGAAGGGAAGGATTAAGATGGGGAAGGCATTCCACATGTAAGAGACACAGAAGCAAAAAGGCACAGGGGTTGCAAAATTCCCCCAGAGGTCAGTACTGTTATATGTGGTGAGGGACAGCCCTAAACCTATCTCAACTCCTGATGGAGCTGCCGTTGGTTTTCATCTGGTTTCTCTCTTGTCCTGTGAGATGGGTGGTCGGTGCAGGGCAAGAACTCTGTCCTGAGAGGCTCTGGGTTGGGGGGCTGACCCCTACCACTGAAATGAAGCTACTGACCTTGGGCCTCCCCTTGGCTCCAAAGTGAGGCCGGCAGCGGAACTAGGTCCTCGGGGCCTCCTGGCAGTGACAATGCCACTGTGCCATACACCCAGGGACAGTAACCAAGACCCTCACATCTCTCGAGGTGAGGGTCACAGTGGCCACAGCTGAGGCCGTGATGGGGCCCTGTAGTCTAATCCCAAGCTGATGGGGGTCCCATGGACCTTTTCCTAGCCCCTGGCATCCATGCTTACTGCCTTGTACCTGCCCAATTTATTGCTGCTCCCGTACCTCAAATCTTTCCACAGCTTCTTAGGAGCTGAAGGCTCAATTCCCACTATACTTGGGCTCCCATCTCTGTGTCCATGTCTGCTACCAAGAGGCCCATATACCAGTCTAGTCCCATCTCTACTCCACCCAGAGAGAGCCCCAGGGCCCCAGCTAGTGAAGTGGGTGCACTGACAATCTTCAAAGGCAATACGGACGGCCAGACACCAGCCTCAGACCCCAGGGAAGACAGCAGGCTGGGCTACAGGAGGTAGCAGGAGCAGGGCTAAAGCTCTGAGAACCTGTGAGATAGGCCGATGCCCTCATTTTCTACACAAATGAGGAAAGCAGTCTGCACAAAGGGAGACTTACTGAACACAACCCCCAAATAGGCTAGATTCTCCAGGGCCAGAGATGAGGATGTCATCCCGGGGGATTCCCTGAGTATCCCAGCAGGCAGGCATCCCAGCCTCACTTTGGGAAGCAGGAACCCAGGCCTCAGAAATAGGCAAGCAGGTTGCCAAAAGGAGCAAAGACAGGCAAAAGGGAAACACACACACACACCACACCACACACCACACAAACACAGCTGTTCCATGGGGGACATTCTCCTGATTGGTGGGGAGCCAGAGAACAGGGGCAGGGACCCACCTCAGCTCTGCTCACAAAGGAGATTCCTGCAGAGCCCCCAACTCTCCTACCTCCCACCTTCCCAGCCCAGAGAGGACTCAGGGGTGCCACATGGGGGTTTATTCCAGTCACAGCTTCCAGAGAAACTCAACAATAAATTACATCATTAAATAAACTCCCTGCTGGACCATGCCCCCTTCTGCCCCTTCTCCACATGCTCCCTTGGGACACTGTGGGGACTTAGCCGGGCCCACCCCCTGCTTTAGGCCACAGGGGAGTGAGCCTCCCTGGGTCCTCACATGTGAGGGTTGAAGGAGAGTCTCCCTGCCTGGTCCGCAGCCCCCTTGCACTCACTCGCCTGACCTTGACAGCTGGGCAGCTGCTAGTCAGCTGTCTCCTCCGGAGGGGGGTGGGGTAGAGGAGGGGGCAACAGCCACCCTGAGTAGGCCTGTGTACCTAGAGGTGTGTGGGGTTCTCCAGAGAGGGGTCCGTCTTAGTCATGTGCAAGACCACGGTGGGAGCTTTATAGTGGCAGTGGGTGCCACGGCCATAGCCTCCTGGGGCCCGGCAGGCCTTTGCCCGTGCCCGGCCAGCTGCCATCTTGCGGTGACAAAGGCTCTGCCAGGTCTGGAACGTCTTGGAGCTCCAGACCCAGACGCCGCTGGTTATCCCCACCACCAGCGACATGAAGATTTTTAGCATAAAGACAGCCACAGTGGGCACTGAGCCCCCTTGCAGCGAGCAGTCCCTCCGGCCACCCGGCACACTGGCTGGGGAACACAGCTGCTCTGTTGCCCGAAGGCGCCAGAAGTCCATGTTGAGGCGCTCATAGACATAGCACACGATGACGCAGGTGGCAGGCACCGTGTACAGGATGGAGAAGACCCCTATCTTGACCATGAGCTTCTCCAGCTTCTCTGTGTTGGTGCCGCCCGTCTTCATGATCTTGCGGATGTGGAAGAGGGCCACGAAGCCAGTCAGGAGGAAGCTGGTGCCCAGCACCAAGTAGCAGGAGAGGGGCACCAGCACGAAGCCTGTGAGCGCGGCCGCGTCCATGCTGGCCACGTAGCAGAGCCCGGTCAGCTCGTCCCCGGCGACCTTGCGCAGCGTCAGGATCACGATGGTCTTCAGGGCCGGCAGGCCCCAGGCCGCCAGGTGGAAGTAGCTGCCGTGGGCCTCGATCGCCTCGTGGCCCCATTTCTTGCCGGCTGCCAGGAACCAGGTGAGCGTCAGCACGACCCACCACAGGGAGCTGGCCATGCCGAAGTAGTAGAGCAGCAAGAAGACGAGGGTGCAGCCCGTGTTCTCCAGGCCCTCCTGGATCACATAGAGCGCGCCCGCCTCCTGGTCGCAGGCCACGCTCTGGGCGCCGGCCACCGCGCGGATGAGAAAGGCCAGCGAATAGACGTTGTAGCACATGGAGAGGAAGATGATGGGGCGCTCGGGGTACTGGAAGCGGTGAGGCTCCAGCAGGAAGGTGAGGACGGTGAAGGCCGTGGAGAAGAAGCAGAGTGCCGACCACACGGCCATCCAGACGAGCGCGAAGTCCTTGTCGCGCCGCGACCAGAACACCTCGACCCCCGGCGCGCAGCGCGGCGCGCAGGAGCGGCTCTTCTCGATGTACTGGAACTTCTCTGGGTTC